TGTATGGTTTTTCATATGTGAAAAATGACTGAACAATTATTTAATCGTTGGCTTTTAGTAACTAATTCAATAAAGCTAACATATATCGAATTTATCTTTCTTTAAATTCTGATGGTCCATCGGAAATATACGTAAATAAGAAGATTCAATGGGAGAAAATAAGAATTGTTGATATGACACATTTTTTGTCTAATAATATGTTTTAACTAACTGAACCGATAATTTAGTTTTTATTGGGAACTACATAAACTTTGAATTGAATAAATGCTGTGATTTGCTGCTTATATCTTATGCATTATTAGCACTGTACACTAACAAAGTAGGGTTTTACAAATAGACTTGTGTGAAAAGGTATGGAAGTTTATCGTATTCATTTTTAAACTATATACGGATATACACATATGCAGTTAGTTTTCATTTAGCTAGATTCTATTTCAAAAAATTAGTATTTATATATTTTAAATCATAAAAATAAATAAATAATAAAAAAGTTTGAAGACTGAAAATATGACTACGAATTTCTCGGAGTAATTATTGTCCATATAAACAACTTAAACCGAATGTATAATCCATTTGCACATTCATTTGTTGTGAACTTGGTCGGTATATAACTGTAGGATCTGTAAAGTATTTGTTGAAAAGAATATTCTTCATTCTTATAACTGTGTTTTAATCCAGTTCTGTCAAAAATGCAACTCATTCATATTCGTTATTCAATCAAAAGTAGTAGACCATTATTTACGTCTTTTGAATTAATTAGATCGTAATCAATAAGATTCAAAAGATGTTTATCATTTTTTATGTTTATTATAACAGGACATAAGTGATGTTATTCACCAGTAACTTCTAACAAATAGTAATGAAAGGCTAAAAGAGCTGTCTGATAAGCAGTACATTGTTATTCAGACTACTTAGAAGAAATGATCAATTCAGTATGAAGTATTAAATTTAACATAAGCCCACAAGCCTACTTGATATGAAAGACTAAACTAAAGTATTCAATATAATCCGGAATAAACTTTACCTTTATAAAATAGTTAGCTACCAAAAATCCGTGATTGTCGTGAGTTAAGCTAAAAGGTTTTTGAATCATTTATGTTATCAACTTCTCGGAACTCTAAAACTGGTTAGGGAGAGTTGTTCCTTGATATTTAAGAGCCGAAAATGTCTGCTTTTCTTAATAGACTATAAGGAAATTTTAGCGCCATATTAGAGAACATTATTTTGATTATTATCTCTACCAGGTTGTACCATGTAACTATAAGAAACGGTTCTGATCACTTGTATGAGACGTTTTATTATCGTTTTAGGTGGTATTCAGCAAAATCATTGCAAACTAGTTTTTCTAATAGTTAGCCGTTTAGTGCAAGTATGTACCATAAAATTTTCTCGCTACATGAACTTAAACCTGTCTATAATATCTTATGATTACTTTTAGCAAACTTCCAATGACATTATAGTCTGAGATATAGTTTAGTGACTGGATGCTACGTAAAATATATCATATTAGAAAACTACTACAAGTTAACCTGGTATAACCTGTCGAATAATTTGAAATCAAGTTAATGAAGCGTATTCAATGTTTTAAAGGTTTATTTTCCTACTATTAATCGGCTGTAGATTGATTTAGTTTGTTCTCAAAAACCTAGTGCTGCAAATAGTATCACAAAAGTGAAATACTTGTAACCTCATACCGTAGCTTTTACTTTAGTAAATGAAATGGAAATCAGTTGTGTAATCTAAATTAATCTTTGACTACTATACTTCCACGAGCTAAACTGTCGTTAGACGCATTTTGATCATTAAAAGTCAGTATTCAGTAAAAAATGCATCAGTCCCTTGTTGATAAGTAAGTATTAATCCATGTGCGTGCATTGTTTTGCTCAAGTCATTCAACTATTCATTTTCATTAACTGATAAACTCCAGTCTCTCAAATGCATAAAAAGTAAACACGCATAGCACGGTAAGATGTAAAACTTGTTTTTAATATTTAAAAATTTATCAGTAGATGATTTCTTGGATTAACCTCGACCAAAATGGACTGAATATATCCATAGACTACTCTTTTAGCATACTGTTTTATCACCAACCTGTAGAGCTCTATTATTCATGAAACAATCAGAAATTTTAGTGTTTACAAGTATTTGCTCATTGACTTCTAATTTTGTATATTCTTTTCTAGACATTCATGTGTTGCTTCTGTTAGTGGAATCCATGACGTTTTGTACGAAAACTAATAAAAGTACAATTATTAACACTGTTTTAGTTTAATCATTCAGTGTTCTAACCTTCTGTCATATGAACAGAAGTTTGACTGCTGTTTCTGTGTCTTCGACTTATCCGATATGAATCAGAAAATGACTCTGTAAGTTAAGATGCAATTCTCAGTTCCAAGATAAATTTTAGGTCATGGATTACTTCTCGTAATTAAGTAATATAAACTGATGACAGTGTTTTCTTGTAAATTTCAGTATGTTGAATATTCAGCGTCTAGTTATATCAAGTTTTAAAAAAACCAAATAACCAATATTGAAGAAACTGGGAAAACTGCCGAGACTAAAATAATGATCCATGTCATACTGAAAGAGAGACCATCTCATCCGAATCCACATTTTTCCAATTAGCATTGCTCTTGCTCTTACATAATGACAATGAAAGTAAAAATATATTTAACTCACGGTAGGAATCGTTGCAGTAGGCCAACAGATGGTTGGATTGTTTTCCGGCCAACTGGGTTAGGGTACTAGGGCTTCATTTTTTTTCATCAATTATTATTCGGTCATGTAACTTATAATCGATAACCTTTTCGAACAATTTTAGGCCTACATCTAAAAAATTTTCATACATCATCCCTAAAATAGGCAGTCGGCTTGGCAAAAAAAAAACATTGGTAAATTCCACATAATTCTACCCTCAGTGATAAAAATGTGGTTAAAATTATTCTCATGATTTTCGAATTTTTAATCTCTTCTAAATATCAAAAATCGAATAATTGTGACCCAAGCTTCGACCAATATGTTTTTAATTACAGCTAGTGTACTCTCTCTTCCCCCTTAAGTATTCCTACTGGTGATTCATCGTTAGTGTATAAACGTAGTTGATAAAAATGATTCAGATATCAGTTACTCAGAAGTTGAATGCAATCTGCTTTAACATTTCGCGGTCTTATTTGTTTGAACTAAAAATAAAAGGAGCTGTCAGTCTGTAACATTTTACCTTTCTAAATTTATCAAGCACAGCTTTAAAATGTGCACACGGCGATAAAGAGCAGAAAATGTTGAACAGCATAGGCTTAATAGAATAATTGAAATGAGAATGTAAGCTAGTTATCAAAAATACAGTAACTAGAAGTTGATTGAGTAACCTTTATACTTGTAAAATATAAACAACTGTTGTTTGTTAATTTATGCAAAGCAGGAGGAAGGTAATATAATTTTTTTTATTTGTATCAACATTTTGATAGACATAGAATAATTAGTATACACACTTCGATCGATCATTACCATCAGAGTTCATCTTTGTTCACGAAGATACTGAAGTTGATAGTAAGTCGAAACTGAGTTAGGATTATGTGGTGTTACCGCTTGGAAAAATTGTTTTCTAAGTACTTATAAAAGATTTAAGTATAGTGGCCATAATTTAAAAATTCTAGAATTCTAGTTTATTCCATGTTAGATTTCAGTGAGGATCATTTTTATCTCATTAGTAAAAAAAATATTATTCATAAGATTCCACCAGATATTTGGTGGCTATTTGTTCAGGTAAAAAACAGAATTTTTGAAGACTAACATCTTTATCCTTTACAAATGTGATAAGTTTTATTACCACTAAGAAATGACAAACTGACCTGATAAATTTCGTTTTTCTATATAGACATTGCATATCTATCTAGATCTAAATAATTTCCTGAAATAACTTATAAATAGTACTCAAATTTTTGCCAAAATGCTAATGATGAACACCATACACAGACAAAAACATAATCTAATTTATTTCGATCAAATTTCTAGACTGTAATAAACTAGGAGAAATCTGATTTGCCACTTCATTACATTGACTGTTTCTTCACTCTCATTTTTTTTTTAAAAATTGTTATGTTACAAATAAAACAGATTTATCTTCCTATTTTATTATTCATTGCGTGACCGCTGATAGAAACATAATCTACTAGTCTTGATTGTTTTTCGCTAGTTTATCTTTTTGGGCAAAAGAACATGAAATTACAACTAGAAAAAAGCAAATGACCATATGTCAGACGTTACTAAAACTGGCAACGAAAATTGATTAATTCTTTTTGGGATGATAGTGTAAAGAATGAAGGGAATATTCTTTTTGTTGAACTGTCTAGTCAAGTTGTTTGTAGATGTCTAGCAGTCAGATTTTTACAACATACGGTTGTATGTATTTCGTGGAAGATATCTCATAATTGGAATATGTACAAGAGGTGAAATTTATATATATATATATATATATATATATATATATATATATATCTGTGATCATATTGATCAACCAACTTCAGTGGTCATTGAATGTCTCATGAAATAGCGTTTAATAGTATTCACTAGGTTTAATTGTGTACCGATTCATGTAATTAAGAGAGATGATTATCGACGAAGCATTAAGTGAACAAAAGATCTTTCTTGCCGATACTCATTGTTTCGTGATTGAAGCAAAGTTCATGATTCATCTTTCCAAACAAGTTAGATGATGTAAGATGCTCTGGTTTATTTCACTCTTCATTGTTAAACTAGTAGTTGATATTGATTATCACCAGAATATAAATATCCTTTGAACTAATTGCACTTAAATCACTTAAATCAATTTGCAAATATCAAGTCAGATTAATTATTATTACCCGTTGGTAAAATATTTTCAGCTTCAAGAAACGATCGTAATTGATTTCACAATCTTAATCATAGTTGAATCAATTTAATAAATGGATTTTTTTCAAATCGGAAACTTTGTATTTTTTTTGATGAAATATATTCTTTTTCAGTTTTTATCACTTTACTTGTTCATACAATCAGTGGATACACTTGTAATCCTGGGACTGGAGAAATTTTACTTCGAAGCTCCGCACTCAGTTCAATGGAGAAACGAACAGAAAACGATATGACATTCTACAGTAACAACAAACTAGAGAAAAATACGCAGTCAGTAAAACAAGGCATATTCACCTCACCACAATGGCCTAAACCTTATGAATCTGGGACACGTTGTGTATATCGTTTTATAGCGGATGTTGGTGAGAAAGTTCATATCAAGTTTGATCACTTTGTATTATCAGGCGATATGCCAAGGTTAGTTTATTAATTATTGTTACTTTTATGACTTTCTTTCTTCTGAATAATATGTTCACATTTAGTTGCCGTTAATTTCAGTGTATCTTTTGCAATTTTGAGGTCACTGAAACTGACAAAATATGAATGAGAGACAGACATTGAGGGATTGACTACTAGCTTCTTGTAGAACTCACTCATATTCTAAGTTTTTTTATGTATGCAAAGTATGACACAGATAAAAATAGATACTGAATATTTTGTCACTTGGTTATAAATAAAAAAATATTAAAATTCGAAATGGTATTTAATACGAAGATCTATAGGATGCTACTAAAATTTGTTTTCGAATATTTACCTACTCTCTTACTTACTTAGTTACGCCTGTTACCCACAATGGATCATAGGCAGCTGACCGGTATTCTCCAACCTACTCTATCTTGGGCTTCCATTTCTAGTTCTGTCCAATTTTTGTTCATTCTTCTGATGTCTGCCTCCCTTGCTCGGCGTAATGTATTTCTTAGTCTTTCTCTTTTTCTATTACCTTGAGGATTCCAAGTGAATGCTTGTCTTGTGAAACAGTTGGGTGCTTTCCGCAATGTGTGTCCTATCCACTATCACCGCTTCTTCCTGATTTCTTCGTCCACTGGAATCTGGTTTGTTCTCTCCCATAGTTGATTGTTGCTGATGGTGTCTGGAAAACGGATTCGAAGTATTTTGTGTAGACAACTGTTAATAAATACTTGTATTTTCTAGATGATGGCTTTCGTAGATCTCCAAGTTTCCTCCCCATACTGTAGAACTGTCTTGAACTTTGTATTGAAAATTGTGACTTTGGTGTTAGTTGATAGTTGTTTTGAGTTCCAGAAGTTGTTCGGTTGTAGAAATGCAGCCATCGCTTTGCCGATCTGCGCATTTACATCAACATTGGATCCACCTTGGTTGTCGATGCTGTACAGATGTGTAAAGGCTTTTACGTCCTCCACAGCATCTCCATCAAGAGTAATTTGGTTGGTGCATGTTTTGTTGAACAGGAAAATCTTTCTTTCTCCCTTTATGTATGTTGAGACCTGCTGCTGAGGTTGTTGCTACACTAGTCGTCTTCTCTTGCATTTGTTGTTGCGAGTCCGATAGAAGAGCCAGATCACCTGCGAAGTACAGTTCGTTCAGCCTCATCTGAGCTCTTCACTGCATCCCGTTCCCACCCCCAGATGTTGACTTTTTCATCATCCAGTCGACCACGAAGAGAAAGAGAAAGGGTGAGAGTAAGCAACCTAGCCCGACACCGGTCTTTACTTCGAATGAGTTTGTGAGTTGTTCTCCATGCACGATTTATAGTGTGGTCCATCATAAGAATCCCGTATGATGTCGACTCTCTTTTCGGGCACGCCATAGTCTTGAAGAAGCCTCCATGTGGTCATCCTGTCCACCCTATCAAATACTTTCTCATAATCAATACAGTTGATGTAGAGTGGTGAGTCCCACTGAATTGATTGTTGCACAATGATCCGTGATGTAGCAGTTTAGTTGGTACATGATCGATCCTTACGGAATGCAGCCTGTTGATCTCGCGGCTAGGCGTCCACTGAGTCATTAACACTGCGCTGAAGACTTTGCTTGATGCTGAGAGTGGATTGATGCCTCTGTAGTTCTCACGCTTGCTCAGATCTCATTTGTTTGGTATTTTGATGAGGTGCCTTCCTTCTAGTCTGTTGGTACTTGTTCTTGATCCCAGATCTTTTTGAAGAGACTGTGAAATATTTTTGAAGTTGCTGCTAAGTTTGTTTTCTTTGCCTTTTCTGGAATGTTGTCTGGTCCTGCTGCTTTTCCTTTCTTTACTTGTCTGATAGTCATGTTGATCTGTTTAATCGTTGGTGGGTCAAAATTGATTGGGAGGTCTGTGCATTCTGGTTAGATGTTGGATGAACTCAGTGAGTCTGGTCGAGTCAAGAGTTCTTCAAAGTTTTCTACCTACCTGTTTCACTGTTCTTCGATGTCGGCTATCACTTTACCTTCCTTGCTTTTCACTCGTCGTTCTGGCTTACGATACTTTGCATCAAGCTTGTTTGTTGTATCGTACAAATGTCTGATGTTTCCTTCTCTTGCAGACTTTTCTGCTGTCATTGCTAGATCTTCTACATATTTGCGTTTGTCGGCTCTGATGCTCCTCTTCACTTGTCTGTTCGCTTCCGCGTATTATCTTGTTCCTTGGCTTTCTCTGCTCTTGTTTGGATGATGTTGATTGCAGCCTTCATGTTGCTCCTTTCCTGAATCCAACAGAGATCCATTGCTTGTGACGGTGCTTCTTGTGGTCCAGAGCCTCGAGACATGTTGAAGTAATTGCCTCCTTGATCTCTAGATCGTGCAAAGGATGGAAACTATTGTTAAATGCTATCTTGATATCGTTCAGCTCTCCAGTATCCTGAAGAAAGGCCGATTCAAACTCTTGTGATGTTGTCCGCCCCGTTGTTCAGTGTTTCTTAAGTTTTAGTTTCATTTTGGCGACCAGTAAGTGGCGAGCTGAGGCAATATTGGCTCCTTTCTTGGTTCTCACCCCCCATGGTCGTGCTGAACTTTTTATTGATGCACATATGGTCCATTCGGCTCTATGTATTGTGGTCCGGTGAAATCCATGTGGCTTGGAGTATGCGTTTGTGTAGGAATATTGTGCCGTCGATGGCTATTTTATTGAGGTCACATGGGTTTGCAAATCTCTCACCATTTTCGTTCCATTCTCCCAGTCCATGTCGTCCCATGATGTCTCCATATTCGGTATTGTCCATTCCAACCTTGGTATTTAGGTCTCCCATCCGAATGGTCAAATCCTTTGATGAGTATCTCTCAAAGATTGGCTGCAGCCTTTCGTAGAACTGATTTTATCGTCATCGTTGTAGTCGTTGCTAGGTGCATAGCATTGGGTGACGTTGACTGTAATGTCCTCTTTTTTTGTTTTGAATAATGCTTTGATGATCCTAGGTTCATGAGATTCCCATACTAACAGTGCCTTTATTGATTGTTTGGATGGTATCAGTACCATTTCTTGCGTGTGTGAGGCATTTTTTTCTTTATAGCCGGAGTATAACAGCAGCTCTCTTGAAGCTAGTCTTAGTTGTCCATATTTAAATCTTCTGATTATTTTAAAGAATTATGCATAACCACCATAGTGTGTCACAGATTAGTTGACTATATAATTTATGCATCTTCAAATATCTTTCCTTCGCCACAGGTCGCAAACCGGAGCCTGCCTCTTTTACTCGTATCGAAATCGTGTTAGCCACTTGCCTACCAATAATTGTAAAATTTATGAAATAAGCTTGATGTTCTATGTGTTAAGTTTATTTATCCCCTTCAATCGATTCAGGAGCTTAGTTAGAAATGTTTTGATCAGTCATTATTAATGAAAAAGATTTACCTCGTTTTGTGTTATTATGACATAGTTCTTTCCTTCGTTTTATACTGAGGAATAGGTCGAACTCATGGTACTTCCCATCATTATCTTGCAATAGCTAGTCTAAATAATAGACGATACCTAGTCATCACTTGGGTTAAAGTACGTGAATCATTCGCATCCACTCTTATTGCAAATTAGAATGTCGTGAATTTTATAACGTATAACGGAGTGAACAAATACTGAGTTTTGTTTGTACACATTGAAATGAAGTATGTTCTATGGTGTATGTCTTTCAATGATTTTCCAGCTATAAGATTTGAATCAAAAATGTCCACGAAATTTCAGAAAATTTCATAAACATTTTTGTAATAATTACAATTAGAATGTTTTGAAAAACAATACGAATGTCCTGGTGTTTTGCATAATGCATCACAGCAGGAAATTGAATAAACTGATGAAATTACTATGCGGAAAAATTTTAATGCAAAATCCATAATCCCACACATACTTTTGCAGGGCTAATCATAGTATAAATAAAATGTTATTTGTAAGTGTCTGAATTTGATTATATTTATTCTTTTTCTATTATTTTAAAGATAAATTTATTGTGCTTAAGTTATATACAGTTTTTAAGCATTTCTTTTTAAGTGGACACTGTAAAATAGATGTATGTCTCAATTTCGAAGCATCGTGGAGAATGTTTTTCAATACACCATTACTGACCTAGGTATGAGTTCTAAAATAAGTAGCTGTCTTAGAAATCGCAAACTGAACTAGTATAGAGGATCTGTAGTTCTGGAGTATTAATCTGTTGAAGTTGAGTGATCTTATCTAGGGGATGTTATCGTTAAGATTTCCTAGTTTTTGTGGACAAAGCCATCAATATTTTGATATTTGTTGACCCAAAGCAGTATGCTTGGACGGGCTGAATTTAATATTTCATCTGCGATCATGGTAAAAAGGTTTGCAGGTCATTGTGGGCTTAAGTTATCTGAAGATGCACCGATCAGTATTCATTGATTACCTTTAAAAATATCATTAGACATACGTCACTGAATTGCACAAACGTTAACTTTTCAACTGCTTTTAAAATCTAACCTTATATAAGCATTGACGAAATTTGAGAAGTGAAGTATCGTTTCGATGAAAATGTAAGATGATATTTTAGTGTGTAAACTATGTAATACACAGATAAATCATTCTTAATTTTTCATGAATGCTCCAACTTTCTGATGAACAGATATGAATGTTACATTAATGTAATTCCTAAAATCTTAGCTTAAAAAGTTTTAATTATAGATAAACGTTTTCACTGGTTTCGTATTAGTTGCATACAGTTCGAAAATAAATAAATAAATAACTTTTACATAAAAGTTGTTATAAATATTTGGTCATTATTTTTAGTGTTACTGTTTTTAAAATTTACGTCCATTTCTTGAAAATTAAAATAGTAATAACACTTGTTTAAGATTAAGTGACCGTGTAAGGATTGGTTTAGTGGAGATTTTGTACAACTTGTCAGTAGTTTTTATCATGAATTATTGAAAACCAGGTAACATTAGCTCAGTTTTCTGCATCACTGAGTTCCGATTATCACAATTAGTCAGTCAGTCATTTACAACGTAGAACTTGGTACGTACATCAATTTAGGCCGCCATACCAAATTAGTACAGAGACGCAATTATCTTTTCAGATCAGTAGGCTTTTCTATAGAAGTGGGTACCAGTTTATCACTGGTGCGAGTCAGGGAGTACTGAATGAATATTTTAGTGTATGATATAGAGACGGAGAGTTTAGAATATAAATTGTGATGCTCATGGTCTAAGGTGTGTATGATAGTTTCTGTTTCAAGAAACATGGTGCTATAAGTAAGTATGAAAACTAAGGTTTAAAAGATAAACTAGATGCGATAAAATAGTAATCTAATAAGACAACTTTAAGTCAGCTACAACTCATGCAAAATGGAACAAAATGATTTCGGTTTGCATATTCACATGTACATACAGTTAGAAAATAATTTTTATCATTAACTGACACCAAGTGTGTGTGAAACCATCGAAACGATGAGAAAAGGAAACAGTAGAGCCCTAAAACCTGATAATAAAAAGTATAAAGGATATATTACAACTTCACCTGGTTTGATAATTCGCTTTTAATCAATTTCTTAATGCATTAACCTGAAATGTGTTACATAACTTGACCGATTGGTTTAAGTACTTGAAAACTATTCGGATATTTGTAAGGTAATTATGTGTTTTGCAGTGTTTGCATCATTTGTAAGAAAGAGAGACTAGTTATATTTCATCTTAAATGCAAAGGTGAGAATTAAAGTCGGGCTCAGCATTTCAGTAGCATCATTCTTGAGGGATATTTCAATATTAATCTTAATTTGAAATGTATTATGGTTTTGTATGACCAAAAGATACTAGTAATAAATGATACTGCTTAATGAACAGAAGTTCTTACGAGGTGACTTGTAATTTTGTTGATCATTCCAATTTTCACTTTTACATTGAACAAAGATAAATGTCTATTTTCTTTCTTCTCTCTACAGTTGTTCATTCGACTTCTTGGATGTGTATATTGATGTTGCTTCGTCAACTTTAGATCTAGATAAACAAGCTGCACTACTTTCAGAAGCCTCATCATCCTCATCATCCTCATCGTCCTCCTCATCATCATCGCCCAATGAACTACATACAACAACACCATTTTCAGCGGCTGCTTATTCTTCCGTATTAGATAAATCAGATTTATTGGGTCGATACTGTGGTGATTATCTATCAACCAATCCTATCACATTTATTAGTTTACACAGAGAGATCGTACTGGATTTTTATTCAGAGTTAGGAAAAATTGCAATTCCTCGATTTACAACAGGCAAATTTTCTGTTTTTGGTTTCAACGGAACATTTGAATTTATAAATGATGGTAAGCTTGATAGCAGTTTATTTTGCTAATTTGTGATATTAACTTAATGTATGATGTTTAATGCTAACATAAAATTAATGTTATTTATTTGGAGCTGTTTAGGAGAAAATTTGCAGCGAACAGTCAAAACAACTATTTTGAATGAACAGTACGTACAGAGAGAGATACATTAGGTTATTGATCACTATAAAACAAACGATTTAAATTTTCTTACTATTGTTTAATCTGTTACCTTATGTGCAATTAATAAATATACACTCTTATCAGGAACGAAAATGCTTTAATATTTGACTTCATCATTTACAGATTTCCCTCCATTCTCATGTGGCAAAATATATTTTAAGTATTGAAATGGTAATGTTTAGATCTTCTAAGTTACCACCGCTCACAATAACGCTAACATTCAAGCTTCGGAATGACTAAAACGCCTATCCTGTACTCAAAACCTTGCTGAAAACAGAGTATTTTGTTTTGCTATTCAGGAATTAAACAACTGATATCCAATGTTTTAATTCAAAAATCAATAAATTTATCATAAGTTGAAGTTTCACGTGACTTTATACATAAGAGATGAATTCTAGAGCTCAGTGCACAGAATTATTGGTGGTTAGCAGATGTCACTTACATTATTTATTAATCTGAAGGATTTTTTTTTGAGGAAAGTGAACTCATTTCGGATTTTCAATAATATCATATGAAACAAGCTTCTTAAAATTCACCTGTTCAGTTCATATAATTAGACAAAGACTAGACTGTTTATCTTAGCATAATTATTTGAGGCTTGAATAAAAACATTCGCGCAAATCTCCAGTGAGCGTGAGCATGTTTTTGTCACAGCATGATCTGTTAGGATTCATAAATAGTAAGTGACAATGTGATTTACACTGAAGTTCATTGAATTATAAAAGAGACTGACATTTATTTCAATAATCTATGAACACTACCATCAATCTGTCGTTCAAAAAATTTTAAACATTTAATGTTTGTCAAGATGGGATGAATTTTTAAAAATATTCGTGAATACAGATTGACAAATGGTTTTTAATTTCATGATTTAAAATTTAATTGTAAGGTAGTAATGCAAAACCTTTGTTAAATATCTGGAAATAATGCACTTTGAAATAATTTATTAGCTGTTCCTTTTCTCTCATCTAATCAATACAAACACTCATATATTTAATCTCATGTATACAGATAGAATACATTAATTTGAGGAGGAGGTGAGTGAGATTATATTTCAGCAGTTTATGTTAATTTATAATGGAAGTGTAGAAACATGACGCTTGAAATTAAGCTCATTAAGAGGTTTAGCTATGCTCATATCTCTACTTTATGTACCTAAATGGTTTTGCACAAATATATACGAGAATATTTCGGGAAAAATTTGACTGTAATTTGGATATGTGGTTGACTCTGGACTACAGTGAAATCTTTTAATTGCTACCAAGACAGCCAGTCTAAATCTTTTGATGGAACTGGAACCGAATAAATATCCCAGGCAAATAATATTGATTAAATGTTATTGGTTACATCCTAGAGTCATTCAGTCAGTTAAAATGTGGAACTTCGTACGTATGTACGAAGTTGCCATACCACATTAGTTCGGTTATGGAATTGTCAGTTCAAATGTCATAGTAATATGGATAATAAAAGTATTAGCAGTAAAAGAGAAGATTAGGATTCGTAGATATGATTCGAGATGTATTATACAGTGGAACAAATTTAAAAAGAGCATGGTGATGCGGAATTCAGAATTGGACGGAATGCAAATAATGGATGTATCCACGCCATTGCAGAAGATTTGAGCCATGTCATTCAAAGTCTCTAACCATCGGTTATGATTATCTCATGGACCTCACCCAAGGTGGCCTACATCCACTAATATGGCTCAGTTCAGTTGCTAGTGACTTCAAGGTAGGTAGTGGTTTTGTATAAATAACACATATCCCAACCACCTCAACTGATGAAGATTCATCAATTGATTTGCAATGTTTACCGAGTACCCGATTCCTGACACCAGCATTTCTTACTCGATAATCCTAGGATATACGGGAAGCGTTTCGAATACTAGTAAACTATGAGTATCCTCTATTCTTAGTAGCCATGTTTAAAACTCATACAGTAGAACGGAGCGAGCTGATGTGCAACAGATTCGTCCCTTGTTTTGTACATGGATATATCATCTGCGCCATAAGTGATGCAAGTTGGCAAAACCAGTCAATTCTTCTGTATCCGTGCCGAGATTTAGCCAGACACCAGGCCTGATAAGACTCCCAAGATAATAGAAAGCTGTCAACCACTTCACTCCCTATCACTAGTTCAGGTGCCAATGCCAGCCAATCTTGAAGCAACATTTTGCATTTTGAAGGAGAGAATCGTATCCTGAATATGCTTGCATTGTTACTTAAGGTAGTTGGAAGAAATAATTTTGTCAGCATCTTCATCAGACAGAACTATGTCATCTGCATATTCCAAGCCAAAAAGAGAGTCCCCTGATAGAAAAGTCAGACGAAGATAATGTTGAATCTAAAAGCGATTCTATGACAAAATTAAAGAAGATTGAAGATAGTCGACAGCCATGACTGACGTCACTTGAAGTAATCATTTCCGATGACAGTTTATCATAAGCTCTAACTCGATGAGTAGTGTTCGAGTAGGGCTTGTATAAGGTTAATCTACTTCTCTGGCACACCTTTTAATGAAAGATAGTGCCACAGAACCTCACGATCAGCAGAGTCGAAACTGGGACGTTTGGACGTGTGTCTATGTTCTAGGACCTAACGTGGTTTGAATATGTTGTACATACAGCCACGTCCAGGTCTGATTTTCTCGTGTCTGCTCTTCATGAGTTCTGGTTAGGTGTCTAAGTATTATCAAGGCCAATAATTTATATACTATATTAGTTGGATTGATTTCTCTGTGATTGTTACAAGAGGACTTTTGTCCTTTCTTTTAAATTGGGACAATCGGCGATCGAGACCAGTTAGATGGGATTACGCCTAGTTTCCAGATTCTACCTAAGATCACAGTCAATCTAACACCTAAAACTGGACCACCATCCTTAAAAATCTCGGGGGTAAGCCTATAAGGCCCTGCTGCACTCCCTCGCTTTAGATTTACTACTGCTTTTTCAACTTCATAAAGAGTCATAGGTTTTACATCGATTTGCCATTCAGTTTCACTTAGGATCGTGGGCAACCGAAGTGTTGCTGAAGGCCAGTTGAACTGGTTCTATCTATCCAGCCTGTTCGATTGATAATGAATTATGAGCCCTTCCTTTTCTAAGATAGTCTCACTTACAGTCAGATTCCTAACGATGGTTTCTTTGACAATTCTGAGCAGTTGGCTACTGTTGCCAATCGCTGCTGCCTTCTCCATCTCACTCGCTTTCGCTATCCACCACTGTTCGCGATCATTGCGTAGGATTTTTATCAGGCAGTACTTAATTTGACTCCGTTCTTCATCCTGTTCAGATACAGAACGGATAAATTTCCGGGAATCTATCAGTTCAGTAAATCATAGGGATATAAACAGCTTTGCAGAACTTTTTGATTTATCTTACTGGCAGATATCACCGCTATTTCCACAGCATTTTGCACAACAGTCAGTCAGATGCAACGTAGAACTTCGTACGTAAGTACCTCAGTTCATGTTGCCATACCACATCAGCACAGAGAAGTAATTGTCAATTCAAATCCAATAGTAGAAGAGGTAGTTAAGGTATTAGAAGTAATCGGAAAGGTTAGGATTAGAAGATATTCAAGAAATATGATTCAGTGAGAAAAGTGTAGAAAGTCAAAACAAGAGGTGTTGAAAAATCCAGAAGATTAGGATTTGAGAGAACACAAAGACTAAATGCACCAGCACCATTGCGAACGATTTTGAGCCATGTCATTCAAGATCTCTAACCATCGATTATTATTATCTCGCGGACCCCAACCAGGTAGTCTACATCTACCGACATGGCTAAGTCCACTCGTCAATGAATTCATGGATTTCGGCCATGTTTTGGTCTGGCCGCCCCTAGCTTTCTTCCAACCTTTTCCTACACTACAAAACATATCTCGACGAGGCAGTCGGTGGTTAGGCATACGCAGCACATGTCCCAACCACCTCAACTGATGAAGTTTCATTACTTCATCTATTGATCTGTCATTCTTACCTAGTACTAGTTTCCTAAAGATAGCATTCCTCACTCGGTTGTCCCACGATATACGAGCAATGCTTCTTAAACATCGATGATCGAAAACCAGTAACCTACGAATATCTTCTACTCTCATTGGCCATGTTTCACAGCCATAAAGTAAGACGGAGCGAACTGCTGCACAGTACATCCGTCATTTGGTTAGCGAACGGATATCTCACCTTCGCCATAAGTGACGCAGGTTGGCAAAAACCAATCGAGCCTTCTGTATCCGTGCTGAGATTTCGTCAGTCACCAGGCCACCGGCACTGATGAGACTCCCCAGATAAGTGAAGCGGTCTACATGTTCGAATACTTCACTTCCTATCACTAGTTCAGGTGCCGAAAAAATCCAATCTTGAGGCAACATTTTGCATTTCGACGGGGAAAACCGCATCCCGAACATGCTTGAATTGTTGCTTAGGGTAGTCAGAAGACTCTGCATTTTGTCAGCGTCTTAACCAAGTAGGACTATGTCATCGGTATATTCTAAGTCAATAAGCGAGCCTCCTGGTAGGAGGTCTACCCCTGAAAATTCAGACGAGGATACGGTTATTTCTAGGAGCACGTCTATGATAAAATTAAAGAAGAATGGAGAGAGGGAACAGCCCTGACGGACACCACTTGAAGTGAACAATCCCGGTGACAGTTCTCCATAACCGGGGGTGTTTGAGTAGAGAGCTTGTATAAGGTTAATGTACTTCTTTGGTACACCTTTCAATGACAGACACTGCCACAGAATCTCACGATCCACTGAGTCAAATGCCGCTTTTAGGTCCAGGAACACAACTATTGTAGGACGCCTAAATGTGTGTCT